CCAGGTAGACTAACAGGGTCTCCCGGTGCAGGCCAGCCAGGACTCTCTCCATCAGCCGCTCGAAGGTGGATGGCGCATTGCATAGCCCGAAGGGCATGACACGCCAGACGTACAAGCCACCTCGGACTACAAATGCGGACTTCTCTCTAGCTTCATCATCAAGCTCCACCTGCCAGTACCCGCTTGCGAGGTCTAATGTGGAAAACCACCTGCTGCCTGCAAGGGTATCGAGGGACTCATCGATGCGGGGTATAGGGAAGGCGTCTTTGATAGTCACTGCATTGAGACGACTATAGTCCAGGCAAAATCACTGGCTACCATCCTTCTTCCTCACAAGGACCACATTTGATGCCCAAGGACTCTCGGTGGGCTCTATTCTTCCCTCCTTGATCATCCCCTGTATTTGGCAGTCGATTTCCTTCTGTTGCTTTGGCGGAAATCGCCTCGGCCGCTCCTTTATAGGACGCGCCGCACCTGTATCTATCTTATGTTGAACCAAGTTTGTACGACCAATGTCGGCGTCACTCCTTGCAAAGACGTCTTGGTTTCTGCTCAAGACGTCAAGTACTTCCCATCCACTTCCTGGATGCTTCGGTCCTACAACTCTTTCAGGTGTTCTGGGACTGACGCAGCTGTTCCCGACTCAGTAGGTGAAGGTCCCCCAGTGCCATCGACGTCGTCACCTTCCACAGGCGTAAGGAACCCTACCATGGTTCCCTCCTTCACGACGCACTCCCTTTTCCCAGGGTTGAATACTCGCACGGGAAGCACCTCTTCCTCTGAGTTGACCAGAACTCGCGCTACGATCATGCCCTTGTCTGCTACCTCACTTCGATCCGATGGTTCTATGAGGCCAAACTTACTGCTGAGCTGCTCACCCATCACTAGGGCTGGCACCAACGCCTCGTGGCCTGCTGGGACCCTTGTGGTTTCCCCCACAACTACCTGGGCACATAGGCCTCCCCCACGTTGGTCCGTACACTTCATCTTCTCCCCGCTCAGCGTCAGCTCACAGGTCCAAAAGTCCAGGGAGCACTTGGTTGATAACAGGAAATCCATCCCCAGGATCCCCTCAACTTCTCCCGTGTTGCCAAACACAGCTCAAACTGGACATGTCGTCTTGCCAATCTGCACTTCCACCCAGGCCCTGCCGAGAGTATCCATCTGGCTACCGTCAGCGTTCTGAATGCCTATGCCATCATTCTCCAACCCTGGCCGCTTCTCTTTGGGTATTCGGAAGTAAAACTCCGAAGACAAGGCGGAGTCAGTTGCTCCCGTGTCCACCAACAGCTTCACATTGATTCCCCTGACCTTCGCCTGCACAAAAAGCCCTGCTTGTGCCTTGTGGTCACTGTTCGGTCTCACGTCGCCTTTCTCTATATTTTGCCTCTTTAGGCTGTCCTCGCCTTGGTACTCTGGCCCCTTTGCTGTTCCAGCTGTCCCTCGGGCGTTGAGTCAGCTGGCTGTCGTTTCCCGACTCCTTTGCACCCCGTTGCGGACAATCACGTGCAAAATGGCCTTTGCCTTTGCACCTGTAGCACACGTCGTGTGACGTTGCCTTGTGCCTGACAGTAGTCCTAGGCGCTCCTTGTCGCCTTCCTTGCGTAGCCTCGAACATTTTTGTCATCCGCTCTAGCCATTCGTGAACTTCCTTGTCGCTCTTCTGAAAGGACTCCTGCAGTTGGCCACATCTCTCCTCGAA